CCCCAAAACCCCAAAACCCCAAAACCCCAAAACCCCAAAACCCCAATATACTTAGAAATTATTGAATATTTATCATAAATATATTTGTTTTCAGTCAGAAAAACAGTAAATTATTTTCTTTTCTTCATCATTTTCTTTGCAAATCTTACAGCAGCCACACCTCCATTAATCTTACTCTTCCGCTTAGTAGGAGGTGGTTGATAGCTAGTATCATTTTGACTCGAATAATGTAATGTGGGATCTTTCATGCCTATATTTAATGCCCCTGCAGTCTTAAACGATGTTCCACCAGAGTACATTGTCCTATTGGCTGGTATATATTTACTATTATCAGTCTCTTGATTTGCTTTTTCAATAATAAGGTTTTTCATTTCCTCTTTAATGGTCTCGATATCCTCTTTTGTCAGATTTATTGCTTTAATTGCTCCATTTCGTTTTAATTTCTCCAATGTTTCAACTAGCAAATTGAGCTGCGTCTGGGCAACTGATTTGGCATCAACGCCATCAAGGATTTCATTTATCTTTTCGTCTTCAGTCGGCCTCTGAGTCCCTACTGACTTTGTTTTAACATCTTTGAAGTATTTATTGTTGATCTTTTTAGTCTGGACTTGGGAATGGACCATATATCCGCATTCTAAGAAGAAATTCGTAATTTTTTCCTTCTCTTTGACGAGATCTTTCATAGCATCCTCATTCTTACTTGTGTTAGAGCCACTTTTAGCTTTTATGGCTTTATCAAGAGGGTTTTCTCTGTTGCGAACTTGAACACTAAATCTAGAAGAGGCTCTACCTTCGAGGTTACTCTCTTCAGAGATTGATCTCTCTTGAATCCTCTTTTTAGATTTACTCTTTGATCTAGGAGTTTGGGTGTCATTGCTCTTTAAGACTGGAGGAGAATGGGAAAACACTTTCTTTTTCACACCAACTTCAATCTTTGTAGCCGCATTTTCGTTATCTGTAATACTCATTGAAGGCTCTGTCATAAAATCTTGCCCAGAAGTAACCTGTTGTTGTTGCAAAATAGAGGTGGCTTTGATCACATTGCCTGTAATCAAAGTCTGAACTCTCTTTTCCTTCGTCGTCAAAATCTGCTGTGATCCAAACGATTCTAGACTAGGAGAGATGGTTCCTGGTCTTCCAGGCCCTTCCTTCCCATCCCCTGTCATTTCAGATGTGGTTATATAACTCTTGAGTGAACTATGCAAAATCCCAAATGAGCCCATACCTTAAATTTTTCTTGAGTTTCTTGACCATGACGTCTTTGATCCTGATTTCACCTTCCATTATTTTGGCGCTCTTCATCATTTCGTCGAATCTTTTGATAGTTTCACTCATATCGTACTCGATTCATTTTTGATGCCGAGTGAGGTCACCAATGACTTTTTGTAGTCTAGAGGGAAGATTAGGGCTGCCGCTTGGGGATTTATGGGTAAGAAGAAGGAGGATAGGAGATAGGGGTGTCGGAAGGGAGGTGTAGGCTAGGATAAGTTGGATAAGGTGTAAGGTAGTTTGGGACAAGATGAGAATTTTACCACTTACTCTTGGATTTTCTCCTTAGCTTGGGTTAATTGGTATTCGTATCTAGTAAGAGTATCTTTATCCTTTTCAATCTGACCTTCCATATTTTTATATTTCTTGAGCTGAGCCACCAACTCCCCATTTTCTCTACTAATAACTCCAAACTTCTGCTCCAACTCAGCATTCTGCAATCTAAACTTTGTAATCTCACTTTCTTTGTTATTTTAATTTCCCCTCTAGGTCTGTTTTCTTCCTATAAATCCAGTTCTCACAAATATCGAAGCATAAACCCCCTGATCTATGTCTATTCCCATAAAATTACATACAATTATCACTTCTACTAAATATCTCCCTAAAATTTCTTCCCAATCAAAACTTAGGACCATAGTATTCAAACCACTAACTAGCCACATAACTATTCCTAAAAATACGCTTGGACCAGCTATTTACTGTCTCTATAGGCGCTTAAAACTCACCTGCTCAAGTTCATTTCTCGATCCTTCAAAATCTCAAACTGCTTGACTAAAGGGTCCTCATCTGTCTGCACAAGGGCTTCGATAGGGTAAGACTTCTTGCAGACCCTGCTGATGACCTGGGACGCAGTCAGTTTTTGCATGTTAAGGAATTTTTGAGATAAAATTGATTTTAACGCTGAAAAGTTAGGCGAAATCGATTTTATTTAGCAGCATCTGATTTTACTATTTCACCCTCGAAAAGTAGGAACTGGTAGATGTCAGTGAGAGTGTAGCAAGGATCATCTTCTGTGTTGCTTTTGTGGAGACCTACGGAAAGAAAATCTGGCTTTTCGAGGTCATCGAAATTTCCAAGTTCTTCAAGCTTCTTTATTTCAATATCTACATCTTTTTGCAAATTAAGCTCATCTTCTTCAATTTGTTTTAAATGATCGATTGCTGTTTTCAGTCTAGTCTTCAAGTTATCAATAGTATAGTCTTTACTCTGAATAACCCCAAGATAGTGTGATTCTGTATGGTCTCTTCATTCCAACAACTCACTAATAATCCGTGAGCAAAGTGAATAAGTAGTAGTCACCAACTTAGCTTCTTCATCATGCTTCCCTTTAGTCATAATTATCTTAAAAGAGTTATAATCAGACTTCTTATAATCAGAGTCAATTTTCTTGAAGATGTAGTCTATGAACTTGCATTTTTCGATAAATCAGTTATAGAACTGGTCTGTGCCAGCCTTGTACTTCTTATTGGAAATTGAATACTCGATATCGTATTTATCAATTTCCTCCTCAATCTTATGCAGATTGTCTAACAACTTCTTTGTCTTTTTATTGTTCTTAAGACTTTTCAGCATAATTTTCTGACTGTTGGGCTTCTGGTTAATGAACTCAGAAACCAAAGGTTCTAGTTGAGGATCCTCTCTAAATTTGGCCCTCGATGAATAATCTACAGGCTGTGTCATGTTTAGCTGACAAGCAACAAATTTGCTTTGAGCTTCACTCTTTGTACTTTTAGATAACTCTTCATCACGACGGTTTTGAATCAAGTTTATAACGTCAAGGTTCAAGCCAGTATTCTTCCTATTAGTCTGGCTTGGTTTATATTCTGGGTTTATAGGTTCCTTGCAAGACGCTCTTTTGTTTTTCTCAAGATAAAAAGTCTGACTGCTAATATAACTGTCATTATCTAAATAATGCTGCTTGCTCATACTTCTGTTATGTTTTTCATAAGAATATGGAAGATTATAAAGAGTCTTATTTTGAGAATGAGATGAACCCATACCCAGTTCATCTTTGGCCTTCCGAGGAGATATCTTGCTTACTCTTCTCGGCTTCCTAAAGCTCTTAATCCTGTCAGAGTTTAGATGATTCTTTGAAGTCTTAGAGTACACTTTATTTCACCTTTGCATTCGAAATTTCATAAGGATTGTTTTCGATCCCATTTTCTGAATGTTTCAGAGAGGGGATTACATCCAGATTAATAGACGGGACTCTTACATCAAATTCATCGGTGGTAATAGGCTCTATCCTAAAATATAAGAGGGAAGTACATACCTTCTATGTATTGTCTTGGGCTTGACTTGAATATCAGTTTTCAAACTATACTTTTTCGTCGAAGGGGTTCTCTTTTCCATATAATTTTCAATATATTTTATTTTAAAAGGGGTTTTGGGGTTTTGGGGTTTTGGGG